AGACTGCAAAGCTGTTTGAACTGCAAGGTCGGCAGTTCAAGTTCACTAGTCGCTCCTCAGAAACCCTATACAGGGTTGCTATGGGTTGGAACTGACTCAATGACACTTAACAATGTACTTTAAGCCATCTCTATCCTAGGCTAGTCCTGGTGTGGCGCTGTGGGTTAATGCGCTAGACTGCAAGGTCAGTTTGAACCACAAGGTTGATGGTTCAAGTTCACCAGCCTCTCTTCAGAAAACTTATACACGGTTGCTGAGTCGGAACTGACTCAATGGCACAACAGCAGCTGGGGTTCCACCTTTCTAAAGCCTTTTGATCAGTAAAGTCAGTGATTTAGTATGCGTAGTGGTTACGAATCGGGCTGTGAACTGCAAGGTCAGCAGTTCGAAACTACCAGCTACTCTGCGGGAGAAAGATGAGGCATTCTGCTCCCATAAAGATTTACAGCCTCGGAAGCCCTGTTCAGGGTCGCTATGGGTCGGAACCGACTCGACAGCACTTACCAACAACAAGAAAGTATACTGTATGTAGGACACACCCCCAAGAAAAGTCCTTTTATAAGACTGGAAGTTCAGATCCAATCACAAGATGGAGGACCACCATAGATTACAAACGGAAAGATGAAAACGTAATTACCTAAGTATACAATAACAAAGGAGGTTACTGTTGGCTACAACAGTCCCAGAAGGGAAGCAGAAAGCACAAAGTGAAGAAGATTCCACAGTCCAAAAAGAGAAGGAGATTTTACACGAGAGTCTGGGTTTATAAAAGTCACAAGTAAATCTGTCCTACTGACAGTTCCTCCACTTCTCATTAGACTTCTTAAAGTCAATGTGTGTAACTAGTTTTCTGAGAACTCTGCATAACCATTCATTCTCAGAACATTTTTGTCATAACCCTTTTAGATTATCTTTATCATGTCCCTAAACACATGGCGCTGTGGGTTAATGCGCCAGTCTACAAAGCTGTTTGAACCACAAGGTCGGCGGTTCAAGCTCACCAGCTGCTCCTCGGAAACCCTATACAGGGTCGCCACCCGACTTGATGGCACTTAACAACAAGTAAAAGGGGGGGGGGGCGATTCAGGACTTGAGTTCTATTTTTAGATTGCTCTCACATACTGCCAAACTGCTGAGGATGTTGCAGCCAGGACGACACCTAACCCTAAGCATCCCAGATGCCATCACATGACTGGATGGTGAGCTGCTAATTCTCCAGAGGAACCCCACATCCTCAATGTGGGCTTGGTTCCCTCATTAATAGGATTCGTCTGGACTCTGCAGCTACCTGACTTGGAGACTATTAAGCTCATTCTACAAACAGGCGATCAGCTCCTAACCTAAAAACTAGTCTCATCGTCCCTGGACACCACAGCCAAAGTCCAGGTGGGCAGGGCATTTGAACCACCCTTTCTCCGCCCTCCTGGCCCTTCACTTGTTCTCTGATGGAGTGGTGGAAACCCAAGGTCATCTGGGGAAGCTCCTTGCGAGGTCTCAAAAGATGACCCCTTTGTCCTCTCCTCTGTTACATACAGTAAGACTGACAGTCCATTCCTGGGGCAGATACCATAGATGATGATGGGTTTCAGTAAAGTCGGCCCCGTTCTCTTTTTATTTCCACCCTTTCCCCAAGTAAACTGCTGGTTGTCTTGATTGCATTTCTTTCCTAATGAAAGGGAAGGGGCTTTGGGTTTACCTCGAATCCTCCCTCTCCCATGTACTTTTCAAGACAGATGAGTAACACAGCGTAAGTTATCTTTTATTCAAGAAAAATTTGACTACGACAAAAGGACAAGCAAGTAAGGAAAGACTTAGAATGAAAATCAAACAAGTCAGCCATTCTTCAATGACTTAAGACTTCTAATGTTCTATTCCATTTAGTTATAGAATGTGGAAACAATGGTCGAGGTTTGCTGCACCTTCACCCTTGTACAAAGTATAGGTGGTCGGGAGACTTCTGAAATTCCTCAGATGTGAGTCAACTGGTGACTTGTTGACCACTGGCAATATTTTGTCCTCTTAAGTCACTTTAGGAGGGCTCCTGGTGTGGCGCTGTAGGATCAGCACTGGACTTGGAACCACAAGGTCCGTGGTTCAGCAGTTCAAACCCTCAGAAACCTATACCGGATTGCTAGCACTAAAAAACAAGAAGTCACTTTAGGAGGGACATTGGACACCATTCCATCCACTGACCCTGCCTACACAGCTCTTCTCCCCGAGTGTCTTCTGGTGCAAGAGGAGACAAAACTGATGGCTAAATCACCTCACATTCTCCCTGTTCACACAGTGCTTGACCCCACCCCATGCATCCACACCAAAAGCTCTTCTCTGAGGTATAGTGAAACGTGCCTTCTCCTCTATTTCTGGCCCATTCTCCCTGCACACGCAGAGCTTCTAGTCTGTGTTTCTTTGGTGTACAAGGGCTGATTTGAAGTACAGAGGCTTGGCGACACTCACTGCAAACACAGGACTTCTGCATGAGCCCGTTGATGTCTAATGAGGCTTTTGTTGTTGGGGGGGTTAAGTGCTGTCAAGTCGGTTCCAATGTGTAACTAGTTTTCTGGAGGGCATGAACCCATAACCTTGCGGTTTGCAGTCCAGTGCTGATCCTGCAGTGCCACCCCAGGAGTCCAATGAGGCTTCACAGAGACCACAAGTCTCACCCACGCTCTGTGACTTCTCCAGGAAGTGAGTCCTCTAATGCATAAGGTATGATTTAGAGCAAAGCCTTGGCCACACTCACTACAAAAAAAGGTTTCTCCTGAGTGTGTACTTTGCTGACTAACTGAGTTGTGACTCGAGGCTGAAGCCTCGCCCACACTCACGCACACAGGACGTTTCTCCCCCAAGTGTGTCCTCTGCTTTATAAGGACGCCTGATTTCTCAGTAAAGCTCAGGGCACACTGTGCCAACATACGGCTTTTCCCCGCGTGTATCCACGGGTGTCTGTGGAAGCTTAATTTCCAGGTAGAGTCTCACCCACGTAAGACTTGCCCTCTGAGTGGATCCTCTGGTGTCGCCGGAAGCTTCCCTGCCAGGTAAAACCTCGCCCACACTCCATGCACACGTAAGGTTTCTCCCCGGAGTGTGTCCTCTGGTGTCGTCGGAAGCTTCCCTGCCAGGCGAAGCCTCTCCCACACACCGTGCACACGTAAGGTTTCTCCACTGAGTGTGTCCTCTGGTGTCGACGGAGGCTGGACTTCTGGGAAAAGCCTCGGCCACACTCAATGCAATCAAAACGCTTCACCCCTGAGTGTGACTGCTGGTGTGTGGACAGCTGTGACTTCTGGGTAAAGGTTCGGCCACACTCAACACAAATATAAGGTTTCTCCCCGAAGTGTCTTCTCTGGTGCAGGAAAAGGTCGGATTTGTCCGTAAAGCCTCGTCCACAGTCACTGCACACATGAGGCTTCTCACCCAGATGTCTCCGCTGGTGTTTAAGGAAGTAGGATTTCTCAGTAAAGCCTCGCCCACACTCACTGCACACATAAGGCCTCTCCCTACAGTGTGTCCTCTGGTGTCTACGCAAGTAGGATCTGTCAGTAAAGCCTCGCCCACACTCACTACACACATAAGGCTTCTCCCTGGAGTGTGTCCTCTGGTGACGACGAAGGCCTGACTTCCGCGTGAAGCTCCGGCCACATTCACTGCACACATGAGGCTTCTCCCCAGTGTGTGTCCTCTGGTGGCTAAGCAAGTAGGATTTATCGAGAAAGCTTCGCCCACACTCACTGCACACATAATGCTTCTCGCCCAGATGTCTCCTCTGGTGTCTAAGGAAGTAGGATTTGTCAGTGAAGCCTCGCCCACACTCACTGCACACATAAGGCCTCTCCCCAGAGTGTGTCCTCTGGTGATAACGAAGACCTGTCTTCCATGTAAAGCGCCGGCCACATTCCTGGCACACATGAGGCTTCTCCCCAGAGTGTGTCCTCTGGTGTCTAAGCAAGTAGGATTTGTCAATAAAGCCTCGCCCACACTCACTGCACACATAGGGCTTCTCCCCAGAGTGGGTCCTTTTGTGAAGGAGGAGGCCTGATTTCTGGGAGAAGCGCCGGCCACACTCCGTGCACACATATGGCTTCTCCCCGGAGTGGGTCCTCTGGTGTCTGCAGAAGCTTAGTTGCCAGGTGAAACGTCGCCCACACTCCGCGCACACATACGGCTTCTCTCCTGAGTGTATCCTCCCATGCATCAGGAGGTTTGACTTGTGGGTGAAGCGCCGGCCACACTCATTGCAACTATAAGGCTTCACCTGTAAGTGTAGTCTTTGGTGTACAAGGAGCCCTGCTTTCTCACTAAAGCCTCGGCTACACTCAGTGCAAACATGTGGCTTCTTCCCCGAGTGTGTCTTCTCGTGTCTACGGAAGTCTAATTTCCAGGTGAAGCCTTGCCCACATTCCTTACACACGTAAAGCTTCTCCCCCAAGTGTGTCTTCTGATGCCTAAGGACGCCTGACTTCTGGGTAAAGTGCCAGCCACGCTCACTACACACATATGGCTTCACGCCTACGTGTCTCCTCTGGTGGTCAAGGAGGCCTGACTTCTCAATAAAGCCTCGGCCACACTCTTTACACACATGTGGCTTCTCCCCTGAGTGTGTCTTCTGGTGTCTACGGAAGCTTAATTTCCAGGTAAAGCCTCGTCCACACTCGCTGCACACATACGGCTTCTCCCCGGAGTGCGTCCTCTGGTGCATAAGGAGGTGTGACTTCTGGGTAAAGCCTCGGCCACACTCACTACAGTCAAAAAGCTTCTCTCCCGAGTGTTTCCTCTGGTGTGTGAGGAGACTCGACTTGTGGCTGAAGCCTCGCCCACACTCCTTGCACATGTAAGGCTTCTTTCCCGAGTGGGTCCTCTGGTGTCTCAGGAGAACTGATTTCCAGTTAAAGCCTCGCCCACACTCCATGCACACATGGGACTTCTCCCGGAGGAGGGGCCTCTGGTTTGTGATAAAGTTTGACTTCAGGCCACAGTCTGGTCCATTCTCTCCAGAGCTGACTGCTCCGAATCTTGAGCTTCCTGATTCCTTCAGCCCTCGGTCTGCTTCCACAGAGTTCACCCTCTGGGCTGAGCTGTGCTCAATTCCTGCCCCTGGGTGGCCGTCTCTAGGGCTTGCTGACTGTCTTCGGGCTGGGCTGGAGGACATCCTTGAAGTCTCTCTGTCCCCTGTCCTCCAACACAAGGGTCTGGAGACATCTGTGTTCTTCCTGCGACAGCTCTGATGGGAATCCCACTGCTCTGGGCTGGACCCCTCTGGATGGAAGGGATGTTCTGCGCACACGCCTGGGAAGATCTGCAGCACATGTTGGCTGAGGAATTGCTGACAGGAGAAAGGCAGAAGGCAGGAGGGACCGGGGTAGGTTTCTGGCGTTGGTTCTGCTGAAGAGAAAAGGTTTTCTGTTAGAGTAGCCAGGAGTGGGGCTGCCTGGGCTGGGCTGCCTTCTCTCTGACAGACACCAACTCACTGCTGGAGGCCCTGCAGGCACAGATCATTAAGCACTCTACTTCTAACGGAAAGGATGAGGCTTTCCAAGAGGCCTGGTGATCTGCCACCAGAATTTCAGAGTCTGGAAAACCTGAAGGAGCCGTTCACCTCTGCACACACGGGTCCCATCTTAACCAACTCAACAGCAGTGAACATCTCATTTCCACACTTGTAACTGACAGTATGGAATCCTGCTATGGAGCTGTGGGTTAATGCGTTAGACTGCAAAGTCGGTTTGAACCGCAAAGCTCACTAGTTGCTCCTTGGACACCCTATACAGAGTCACTATAGGTTGCAACCGACTCGACAACGGCATTAACAATTGACAATACAAAAATTAATCTGTTTGCCACCAAGAACTCATGTAGAATCCATTTTTACAAATTACGCTTTCTATTGCAATCCAGAAGCAGTCCTGGAGCTTAGAGGTTAAAAAGTGCTCTGAAGGAGGAAGATGCGGTGAAAGATTTGGCAATGTGCTTCCGTACAAATTTAGAGCCTCGGGAACTCTGGGCAGTACTGCTGGGAGTCAGAATCTACCGGACAGCAGTGGGTTTGGGGATTGCCATCCAGAAAATCCATACCCACAATCCTCTTCCACAAGTCCAACCAGTAAGAGCTTAAATCAGCATCAGACGCTGCTTCCTGTGAGAGTTAGCCTCTTCCTTCTACTCCCGCCCTCTAAGGCACACTCACTCACACTGATATAGATCACCCACAGCACTGCTGTTGTTTGGAAGTAACTGTTTCTGCTGGTGTGGTGCTGTAGGATTAGCACTGGACTATGAGCCACAAGGTCAGCAGTTCAAACCCTCCAGCGGCTCCTTGGAAACCCTATACAGGGCTGCTCTGAGTCAGAACCAACTCGACAGCACTTAACAACATTAACAACATATTTGATGAAGAAATCTCCTTCACAACTTTAATTATAAAAAGGGATAAGAATTGACAGAGCTTTCTGCCAAAAAAAAAAAAAAAAAATAAGGGATGAGTAAAAAGTCACTCAGTCTGGTGAACTTCCCAATACAGGAGGCAGTGGATGTGTGGAAACAGTTTAGTATCAGCATCTGAACCAGGGCTTTTAACAGATTCATTCTGGTTTGCCCCGCTTGCTGAGAATTTGCACTTACAGCCAAGAAACACTGAATCAGAATCTGCAATTGAACAAGAACTTCAGGTGATCGGTATAGATCTTTAGGTGATTCGTATGTACATACAAGGATCACCTGGGGATCTTATTAAACTGTAGACTCCTATTCAGTGTATCTGGGGTGGCAATGCAAATTCTCAGTATGATGGGGACAGCATACGCAGACCCTGGGTTGATCAATGGCAGCCCCATTAAACCACCTCTAAATATAATCAGTTTAACCCAGATGCTCTCCTTCCTCCTTAAAGTATATAGGAATGTGATAATTAAGAACAATGTAGCATTTTAGGTATAGATAAATGAAGCCCAGTGCCTGAGATCTTGCTCACAAACAAAAGTTTGCAAAGTGTACAGAGACAGCTTGGCTCCTTTCAGGAACCTTGCTTTATGTTATGTATCCTTAAGAAACCACACGTTGCTACTCTAGATCATTTAAGCCTAAAAATTAATATATAACAGCTTGATTGAACCTTTTTTCTGTAAAGATAAAAATGTTAGATTGTTAAGAAACTATGAAAATATCTTAAAAGTTGTTCCTGTCAATCATTATGTCCTGTTTTGAATGATTAATCCCATTTCAGTTCCGTACCCTGTCTTAATCACATCCTCCCTTTGTGACATCCTCCCTGAGTGAATTACATCCTTCCTTTGTAACAAATCCCTCCCTAAAAAAGAGAATAAAAGGCTGAGGTAGAGTGAGTTCTGCATGCAATGCTGTGCAATGCTAGGCAATATGTTTGCAGATCTGTCTACCTGCCAGCTTGCATCATATCTGTGTGTCTGTCTTTTTTGTATATATTTCGTCTCTCTCTTTCTCTATCACTTTGGGCGCCAGATCTCCCTTCTTTGTGGCACCCATGCTTCCTTGTCGAGACGGGACCCCGACATAGGACCTCAACATCAGTAGAGTTGAACTGGAAGAAATTAGATCAAAACCTTTAGATTCCAATCTCCTGTGGGATTAGGTGGTTAACTCTAGGTCAGTCTGATTGTGTGCTGTCAGTGATTTGATGCTTACCTACAAGCAGTCTGGTCATTCAGATCACAGGTTGTTCCAGTCTGCGTCTCCGAGGCATATTTCAATAGGGGAAGGATTCTGTGTTTACTGTGTTACACAGGGGAACTGTAAATTACTTAGAGTCAACCTCCTTGCTAAACCAACTCAGGTAAACTGACTAGAACTCTAATCCCTTGCAAGGAAACTGTCAGTTCCCAAAAAGATCAATTAGATTTACTGAGGCCACTTTAGGGGATTCTCTTTCACATCATGCCATTTTACCCCTTAATATCTCTAAAGAAAAATTATACTTCTGAAAAACAACTATACTTACTTTAACCACAGTAAAATGATCACAATCAAAATCTTTAACGTTAGGTGCCGACAAGTTAATTTCACATCTGGTTGGCCCCATTTGGCAGGGGTGAACTGCACAATAGGGTTAGGCTGTAGCCTTATTGGTGCCAAAATGCCAGGTCTTTCTTCCCACATGCCGTGGTCGCTGTAAGGTGCTGACCTTTCTGTCAACAGCAGAGGACTTAACTCTTATTGCTTCATTAATGCTTATTAATTCTTAATATTATTAATTCTTATTGCTCCTTAATGATGTAATACTGTCATATTTATAGAGCGCACATACAAGTGTCACCTGGTGTGGGTGTCGCTGTGTTCTGTGTATATGAATGTGTCTCTACGTTGGTCTCACACTCTTCCCATAAGAGTTCATTTGTTGCTTTTGCTTTTTCATTTTATTTTGTTCAGAGGGTTTTATTGGCTGCAGACTTTATGAAAGCAGGGCACCAGGCCTGTCTTCTGGGGTTCTGTTGGATGGGTTAGAACCCATCCAAGAATTGATCACAAACTGTTTGCAGCAGCCAAGAACATTTGGTATGTAGAAGACAATGACAACAACAACAACAACACCCACTGTCATCAAGTCGGTTCTAACTCATATCGACTCTACAACAGGATAGAGTCAGAATGCCCCACCAGGTCTCCATAGCTAGAGATCTTTACGAAAACACACTGCCACATTTTTCTCCCATGAAGAGGCTGATGGGTACACACTGTGCTTAAACACTGCACCACCAGGGCCCCTGTGCCGCAATAAATACTTAGTAAATTCTCCTCACCCAATGAGAGCAGGTTCCTGTAGGTCTCCAGCGTCACTTCCTTGTACAAGTTCTTCTGCTCTGTGCTCAATGTCACCCATTCTGCCTCCGTGAAGACCACAGTGACGTCCTCGAATGTCACTGGTGCCTAGACAAGCAAGACATCAAGACACACCCAGTCACCATCGCTGTCCCAATGAGAGGAGTTAACTGGGGCCCTCAAGGGTCTGCGTCTGAAGAAGTTCATCTCATTCTTTCCACAGCCAGCTCTTCTGGGCATGACTACATACCTGGCTCTGTGACAAACCTGTGGGGGCACAAAGGATGCACCAAACACACCCTGGACCACACAGACTTAGGATTTCATCAGACAAATGATCTGTGGATCCATTTGAGCACATTAAGCAATATTCAAGTGAGTGCATTTGGGAATTCACAATGGGGGAGTTCAGCGATGGCAGAGTACTGTACAAGATGGGCTAGAAAAGCAGAGTAGGCATCAGGAAGGTAGGGCTGGTGCTAGGCATTAAGGGAAGGGAGGCCGTGCAGGGGAAAGTGGGAGGGAACTTCAATTACAGACAAAAGTGTCTGGAGTGAGCAAACTGAAGAGTTCAGGTCACGAGATAGGTTCTGTAAGTCACTAACTTTGTTTACGGTATTTCATCAGTGTTCTAGTGAAGTCCTTAACACTTCACTCCTCGTGGAGACCAGCTGGTGTGAGAATGGATGGACCCTTTCACAGAAAGCCCAGTTACAGAGAACATAATCTTTAAAACACACACACACAGAAACACTTTAACCAAGTGCTGTCGAGTCAATTCTGACTCAGCTTCACCCCATGTCACAGAACAGAATGGCCTCAGAAGATTCCAAACCTATAATCTTTACAGAAGCAGACAGCCACCTCATTCTTACATGGAGCGAATGGTGGGTTTGAACCACCGACCGCTTCACTGTGCCACTGAGGCTTCTGTGAACATTTGGTTGAGGGGTAATTCGGGCTTTAAACACAGAGCTCCTCACTTGGTGTAGTTCCAATATATAAAGTTTCAGTAACCATGGGTGAGCTAAGTAACGCCAATCCCCAACAAAATGGTTCAAATTTCATTTAGCATGATACAATAACTGTGAATCTTTTCATAAAGCACAGACTTTTCTGTCAGCTCTGATTCACCACAAAGTCCCGCTGCCTCAGTCAATCATGAAAACCGAACGGAGCCAACAAAACCTCTGGACGCCCACGTTCCAGGGCTTCCTGGTGAAAGCCATCGATGCACGTGGGATTATCAGGGCCTCGCTCTTTGGGACAAAGACCATGTGCACTGTGAACCCTCCCAGACATGTCCCATGCATTTCTTTCTCTCTATCCTTTTTGCTTTAATCATTAGTACTTATTTTCACTTATTGTGAGAATACTTTAGGTCAATAGGTCAAGAGGTGAGGGTGCCCAAAGGAGAGTCCCGAACTCAGGACTGTCAGCCCGAAGGGGTTCAAGAAAACCCTGAAACTGAAGCCAGTAGGTCAGAAGAAAGGGAGCCCAGGGCGTGGTTCACAAGCTTGCAGCTGCCATCTTGAAACATTTGAGGGACAGCTTCAAATTGTAGCAGCAGGTAAACAAGGAGAGTGTACTGTGGACCCTCCAACCTGCGGCTAGAACCTGCTTCGGTGGCAGTCAGAACAACAGTGCCCTTTAGCTTGCCAGACCTGCCCTAGCTCCAGGTGGCTAGGGTTAGGACAAGAAGGGCTGCATGGGAAAAGGGAATGTTTGGATAGTTGATATTTTGAGATACAATATCATATTCCCATAAAAGGAGAGTGGCCATCAGAGATGATTGTTGAAGCTACGCGATGGCACCAGAGAAATGATTTTATTATGTTCTCTATTTCAGCCTGTTTTAAAACATCACCATTAAAAAGGAAACAGATGCCCAGTGTAGAAGATGTTATCATTAGATAGTGTGTGTGTGAGGATATGGAAAGAAATGTATTAGAATACTTAAGAATGTTAACAATTTCAGGTTTTCAGAAACATTCCTGATATTTTAAGTTTGCTGGCTTCTTAATATGAACCTTGGGTATAATTCACCACAAGAAAAACAAAATGCAAAAATGTCAGGCATGGTACCTGGCACAAAGGCATGGCATTTCTATCTGTGGGTCACCTTCTTGCTTCACAAGACACAGAACACATGGGGAATGAGCTAGCATGTCAGAAAAATAAGGTTAATTATGACTCACTAGCATTTGGGGTTTTCTCATCTTCTCTCGGGACCAGTCCGATTCTTTAGAAGACAAACCTACGGGTGAAAAAGAGAAGCAGTGAGTGCTCAAGTCCGGTCTCCCGCACACTACTGCCCTACAAGTAGCCTCCTGATCCTGGGATGGCAGGATGCAGCCTCTTCACTCAGCTGTGGCTGATAAAACATTCTCACCTGGACCTGCAGCCTCGGTCCCCACTTCACCTCTCCACACCTTCAACAACTCTCACCTTCTGCCTTCTGTGTCTGGGTCACTTTCTTCATGGTCTCCGTATGGTCCCTGTTCTTTGAAGCCAGAATCTTCTCCCAGTCCTGCTCTCCCCGGGCAGGAGGACCAGGCAACGTGACGGCCCCCGAGTCATTGGGAAGTGGTTTCATCTCCAGATGGGTGTCTGCTGTCTGGGGAGATGTCTTCAGTCTCAGTGATGGAAGCCCCTCTCGTTTCCAGGCACCCAGGAGCTGTGGGATGGAGAAGCACCGTGACGCTCTGGACGCTATGCTGTGTGCACTCCCCCCGCCAGGCCCCCTCAGCAGGATCCAGTCCTCTCACACCCTCCTGGGACACCACTCACAGAGTCTCAGCCCACTCAAGCTCTCTGGGGTGTCTACCTTGACGCATTTCTGATCTATAAGGGTGATTCATATGTCAGTTTGTAATTGTTGTACTGTGGTAACTTGCATGTTGTTGTGAAGCTATGCCCCTGGTATTTTAAATACCAGCATAGTCGCCCATGATAGACAGCTTTCAGCTGAGCTTCCAGACTAAGCCGACTACAACTGATCGCTTAGCCACTGAACACCTGATGAACAGCAGTGCAGCATCGTCAGATATAGTGCCAGAAGATGATACCATTATGAATAACACCAGAACATTGCCAGATAGAGTGTCGGAAGACGTGTCCTTCAGGTTGAAAGGTACTCAAAGTACGATGGGAGAAGAGCTGCCTTCTCAAACTAGAGCTGACCATGATGACGTGAAAGGAGTAAAGCTTTCTGGATCTTTACTTCCTGATGAGACACAACTCAAAATGAAGAGACACAGCTGTAAATATCCATTAGTAATCAGAACATGGAATGTATGAAATATGATACAAGAAAATAGGAAGCTGTCAAAAATGAAATGAAATGCATAAATATTGATATCATAGGTTTTAGTGAGCTGAAATGGACTAGTACTGATGATTATAAATCAGACAATCATATGGTTTACTATTCCAGGAACGACAAATTCAAGAGGAATGGCATAGCCTTGATCATCAAAAAGAACATTTCAAGATCTATCTTGAAGTACAATGCTGTCTGTGATACGATAGTATCTATGCACCTACAAGGAAGACCAGTTAATACCACTATTATTAACATTTACATACCAACCATAAAGCCAGTGATGAAATTAAAGAATTCTACCAACTTTCTCAGTCTGAAATTGATCAAACATGCAATCAAGATGTATTGATAATTACTGATAATTGAAATGCAAAGGTTGGAAACAAAGAGGAAGGATCAGTAGTTGGGAAATATGCCGTTGGTGATAGAAATGATGCTGGGGATAACATGATAGAATTTTGCAAGGCCAATTACTTCTTCATTGCAAATTCCTTTTTTAAACAACATAAAAGACGATTATATACAGATGGAACATACAGGAATCAAATTGATTACATCTGTGGAACGAGATGATGGGAAAAGTCCGTATGATCAGCCAAATCAAAGTCAGGGACAAATTGTGGAACAGACCATCAATTGGTTACATGCAAGTTCAGGCTGAATCTGAAGAAAATTAAAACAAGTCCATGAGATCCAAAATAGGACTTTGAACACATCCCACGTGAATTTAGAGTATCTCAAGAACAGATCTGATGCATTAGACACGAATGACCAAAGATCAGAAGAGTTGTAGGATGACATCAAGAATATCATACAAGAAGAAAGCAAAACAGGCTTTAAAAAGAAAGGAAAGAAAGAAAAGACCAAAATGGATGGTCTTTCAGAAGAGACTCTGAAATTTCATCTCCTGTGTAGAGATGCTAAAGTGAATGAAAGAAATAATGAAGTAAAAGAGCTGAACAGAAAATTTCAAAGGGCAGCTCGAGAAAACAGAGTCAAGTGTTACAGTGAAATGTGCAAAGACTTGGAGTTAGAAAACCAAAAGGGAAGAACACGCTCAGCAGTTCTCAAGATGAATGAATTGAAGAACTAATTCAAGCCTTGACTTGAAATATTGAAGGATTCTATGGGCAAAATATTGACGGATGCAGAAAGCATCAAAAGAAGATGGAAGGAGAAATACACAGTCTCACTGTATCAAAAAGAAATGGTTGATGGTCAACAATTTCAAAGGTAGCATATGACCAAGAACTGATGGCACTGAAGGAAGGAATGCCAAGCTGAATAGAAAGCTTTGTCAAAAAACATGACTCCAGGAACTGACGGGATACAAACAGAAATATTTAACAAACTGATACAGCACTGGAGGCACTCACTCATCTAAGCCAACAAATATGGAAGACAGCTACCTGCCCAACCAACTGGATTCATATTTCTGGTCATTCCAAAGAGAGGTGACCCAATGGAATACAAAAATCATCATTAATATCACATGCAAGTACAATTTTGCTGAAGATAATTCAAATACGGCTACAATAGTACATCGACAGGGAACGGCCAGACACTCAAGCAGGATTAAGAAAATGTGGAATGAGGGATATCATTGCTGACATCAGATGGATCTTGCAGAGAACCAGAAAGATGTTTACTTGTGCTTTATTGATTATGCAAAGGCTTTTGACTATGTAGATCATGACCAACTATGGATAACATTTCAAAGAACAGGTATTCAACAAAACTTGATTGTGCTCATGAGGAACCTATACATAGACCATGAGGCAGTCATTTGAACAGAAAAGGGAATAGTGAATGGTTTAAAATCAGGAAAGATATGTGCTTTACCATACTTATTCTAATCTGTATGCTGAGCAAATCATCCAAGAAACTGGGCTGTATGATGAAGCGTGGGGCATTAGGACCAGAGAAACACTCATTAACAACCTGCAATATGCAGATGATACAACCTTGCTTGCTGAAAACAAAGAGAATTTAAAATACTTACTGATGAAGATCATAGACTACAGCCTTCAGTATGGATTGCACCGCAATGTAAAGAAAACAAAAATCCTCATAACTGGACCAATTAATGGAGAAAAGATTGAAGTTGTCAAAGACTTTCTTTTTGCTTGGCTCCACAATCAACACTCATGGAAGCAGCAGTCAAGAAACCAAGTGATGTATTGCATTAGGAAAACCTGCTGTAAAAGACCTCTTTACAAAGTGCTCAAGAGCAAAGGTATCCATTTGAGGACTAAGGTGCACCTGACCCAAGCCAGGGTATTTTCAATCACCTGATATGCATGTGAAAGTTGGCAATGAATAAGGCAGACTGGAGAAGAATCAAGGCACTTGAGTTATGGGGCTGGAGAAGAATATTAAAAGTACCATAGGCTGTCAGAAGAACAAGCTAATCTGTCTTGGAAGAAGAGCAGCCAGAGTGCTCCTTAAAATCAGGATGGTGAGACTTTGTCTCTTTGGACATGTGATCAGGAGGGGCCAGTCCTCAGAGAAGGACATCATGCTTGGTAAAATGGAAGATCTATGAAAAAGAGGAAGACCCCCAACAAGACAAACTGACACATGGCAGTAACAGTGGTTTCAAATGTAACAATAACTGTGAGGATGACACAGGACGGATCACTATGAGCTGGACACGACTCAACAGCACCTAACAATAACAACCTTTTAGTGCATATCAGGAATCATTTCAGGCACTGCACTCGTTTACTGCCTCAATGAGTTAAGCATTGTGATAAACTCAGGTACAATGAGGTGACAATGAGAAAGCTTCAAAAAGCTTTAAAGATATTGAAATTTCCCACAAACTTTGTGAATCTCTCTTTTATATCATTCTGAAGGTGACAAAACTCAAGTACCTATATTTGATCTCTAGCTGCAACGTGCCAGACTTTTAGCCTGTTGTTGTTATTAAGTGCTTTCATGTCAATTCTGATTCACAGTAAATGTGTATAAAGGCTCCAAGGAACAGCTGGTGGGTTTGAACCTCTGACCTTGTGGTAAGCAGTCCAGTGCTTATCCTATAGCGCCACACCAGGGCTCCAGTGATAACATCAATAGTAACTGACACCTTTCACGCACCCCTCAGCACAGGGTGTGACAATTCTCAAACTGCATCAATGTGTAGGGTTGGGAGGATTCTGCTCAACATGACTGTAAACATACTATTTTACTGAGAAGTTTTAACATCCGTCCTTCATAAAAAGATAAAAATCAATCTTCGCACAGCCCCAAACCGAAGGTGGCAGGATGAGCCCCAAACATTCCAGGCAAAACCAGACACTACAACTAAACTGGAGCTCATTGGCACACATAGAGCAGGCCCCTGCCACCCTACAAACACTCTGCCAGCAGGTCCCAGAGCAGGTGGATAAGATGACCTAGATGTAGGTCCTGCAGATTCAGTTCCTCATACCTCAGTTTCTGTGTTGGGCCCACCTCTAAGAGTCCCCAAATCTCCAAGGTCTCCAGACCCCCTAGGAACAGTATATCAGTAACAAGCTTACCTGCAATCACCTCCCCTTCCCCATACAAATCAAAGCACTGCAGGCGCTCAGAAACCAAGCCCCCAACCCAACAAAACCACTAACTAGAATGTCTCTTGCCCCCACCAAAATACAACAAATCTTGACGTGAACAATAAAGGAAGGGTTCCCACGCTGACCCAGAGAGTATGCGCTCCCCACCAGGCACTCCGGGGGTCACACCCTGAATCTCCAGCCCCCAGGGAATGTTCGTCCATCTGCCCTGGGTGGAACTCCCCCCACAGCCCAGAAATCCCGGGGGCGCACGGCCAGAGAAGCGCGGTTTCTCCAGGCTCATCCCGCCCTCTTTCAATCAGGAACCCTAAATTCTGGTCCCTCTCATCCCAGCCTGGAACCAGTGGCCAAGAAGCGCCCGCAGCTCCAGGATCCGGGCCTTCTTTTCTCCAGTTCCCAGGCCCAGAGTGTGTCTCCAGCCGCGCCCCCTTCCATAAAAAAGGAACATCCGGAACCCGCGGGCGCTGACATGCCCTGCCTAATCCCTGTCAGCCGAACCTCACTTCGGGATCTGACGCCACCCCAACCTTCCCTCCCTGCTCCTCCCAACCCCGCGCAGAGAAGCCTCTGGGGTCCCGGACCTTGAAGTTCCCGCTGGATCCCTCCGGGACCTCCGTCAGAACTACAGTTCCCAGAATCCCTGCGGCCTGCGGCTCCGTCGTCAGCTGAACCGCTTATGAGACACGCGGTCCAGTGACCCATCTGACAGTCCCTCCAGTCTCTCTTCTGGAAATACCTGTCCACCAAGCAGGCAGCGGTTCCGCAGTGGATGACCACAACCCCGACAAGACGCCC